GATTCGCTAGTGAATTACTGAATTATACTCATCCATTGTGCTGCTGTTCAACATAACCGCAGACCTGCCTCAGAATATATAATAGGAATTTTCCACTATGAAGACATTCAAATTTTTACTTTTTCATGACAAAAAAAAAATGATTTATTTAGTTTTTTGTTATGCTATCGGAAATTGACTTTCAAAAACCATAGACTGAGTTCAACTTTTTCAACCCCAAGAACTCTGCCACTTATGGGCCAAGATGTTTCAAAAAATTGAAAGGAAAACAGCAGATTTCAGAAAATTTTGAGAGACTTTATGAAATTTCAACATATATTAAAAGCTGTTAGCACAATCTCTATGGGATTAAAATATAACAAACGGCGTAACTACTATTACTAATCACAGGGAAATCGTTTTATTCTATCTATTTTAGGACACATTTCTTCACCATCCATTTATTTTATCCTTCAGAAATATAAGAAGGAAGTAGTTCATATATTGTAACGAGCTGTTATTGATATAAAGTCTGTAATCGTATATCAATAATGTTTATCACGGTCTGTAATGAGCCATTCCTCATGTATCTAACCTAAAGATTTCGTCAGACTTAATGGGATTAAGAATAACTTGTAAGACTTCAAGACTGAAGTCTTCGCTGTTTCTCCCTTGAAAAAAATATAGCCATATGTAAATGTCTGACTGAGCGCAACGTTCAGAAAAATGTAAGACAACTCTTGTTCAAAGAATTTTCACTTACCGAATATAACTTCAAGATGAGATCAGTAAAATTTTTTCAAAAACATCTGAACTTCTTCTCCAAGACTAAGGGTTCTACCACCTTATGAATGTAAAAATTTATTTTTTGTATAACGTTTTTAGTGTTCGATGAAATCTATATTGATGTATATATATATATATATATTATTTTCTAGCAACTTGAATTTGTTACTGCTTATCAACTTTATTTTAATCCTGAATTGATCTTTAAAAAATTCCAAGTAAATAAAAATTATCAATTTATTTATATAGAAATAAGATAATTCGCTTTTTGTCTTTCTTTATTTTCTTATAGTTATGGAGATTAATAACTTGTTTTTGTTTTTATGGTGGTATTGGTTTTAATTTTTTCTTTAATTTACTCTTTACTTATCGTTATTGTCGTCATCTTGAAGAAGGTTCATTTCGTGGACGTGCTGCTGATTTTCTTTATATGTTTATATTTGGTGGTACATTAATGATAATAATGGCATTATTTGTTAATATTGTTTTTCTTGGTTCAGCATTAACAATTATGTTAGTTTATGTTTGGAGTCGACGAAACCCATTTGTTAGAATGAATTTCTTTGGTTTATTAAATTTTCAAGCACCTTATCTACCATGGGTATTATTTGCTTTTTCACTTTTACTGGGAAATTCAATTATTGTTGATTTAATGGGAATTATTGTTGGTCATATTTATTATTTTCTTGAAGATATATTTCCACGTGAACAAGGTGGTTTTAAAATATTAAGAACACCAAGATTTTTGTATGTCTTTTTTTTTTGTTTTGTTTGTTTGATAATGAAATTATAGAAACTTTTTTTTTTCTGTTCAATAGACATTGGTTATTTGATGAAACTAGACGTCAACGTGATGAAAATGATACACGTCCAAATGTTGGTAACGAGGTACCATTTGGTGCTGGTGGTTTTCATTGGCAGTGATTATGTTCTTGTTGAATTTTTACTTCTTGTATATCTTTATTCACGAAAAAAAAAAAGAAAAAAATATATCTCAATATATATTGATATTTATATGCAAATCTAGTTGGAAATTTTTAAGAAAAATATATATCTAAGTATTGTTTTAAATTTGTACTTCTTTCTCTTGTCATATATATGTAAATAACACAATTTGAAAATGAATATATGGTGATAATTTGATAATGAACAAGTAACTCTTATCAACATTATTAAGAGACAATGACTATTATGACATCAATAGATATGAACATTGATATTCATCAAATATAATCAGAAATAATCAATTGATATGATATTTAAATTATATTAATATATAATCTAGTATTATCAGATGAATATTGATGAACAATTTTATTACAGAACATAACAACAGGTGAATTGAGGGTTTTACCCCCTTCTTGCTCGTCGTCCAATTAGTATTGCATCAACTAACTCTATATAGATAATTAACTAGCTATTGTATGCCATTTAACAAGACATAATAATAATTGTTCTAGACATCACCTATTACCCATGGTGTCTACTATAGCTTAATTGATAACTGTATGTTATGAAAAGACAAAAAAAAAAGGTAGTTTAATAATGAATCTTATTGATCATTCAGAAAAAAAATATAAACTTATCAAATGTTCAAGAAATTTAACAGAAATAACTTTTGAATGATTACAAGTAAAGTCTTTGTATTATGCTATAATCGTTAATTGTAATCAAATTTTATTGTATTCTGTTCACCATCAAAAAATAACAATGAGGTGTTCTGTCTGATTCTATAGAATAGATCATATAAGTAGATTCACATTAAAGATGCGTTACCCTGATAATAGCTCGTTTGATTTTTATGATTTTAACCAGCCACGTAGACAAAATAGATATACAATCAAATGATTCTTTTTTTTTTTTTGCACCGGAATTTTAGAAAAGAAAAAAAAATAAATTATAGAGGTTCTAACAAGCTGTTGCACACACCTATCGAGTATGAAACAAGAAAAAAAAATGGGGACACAAAATAGTAGCACAACAGGTTGCGATGATGATGATGCCGTATAGCACAAGGTAAATGAAGGTTTTTGTCACATAAAAAAAAACGAACAAGTCAAATGCAATAGTATGTATGTATACAAATAATAGAACTAATTCGATATATCTCGAATGAAATATTATCATTATTCAACTTTCAACTTTCCTTATTGCTGGAGCCTGTTCACACCTGTATGATAAGTGTGTTCCAGCTGATTATCGACAAATTGTCATTCCATCATGATGCGCCTGGAAGCTATATAGAAGGTATATAGTTCCCTTATCGTTCGTATGCGAAAGAAAAGACGAGGTACATTTGTTTATCTTTTCTCCTTCTGTAAATGGCAACACCATCAGTATATGTGCTTCTTCGATGTATCTTGAGATGCTCTCTCTCGGACGTATATATATGTGTGTGTACATCGACTATCTCATTATCATTCAATTATAAAGTAAACGAAATCTTAGATGAGTTTTTTCTTTAAGAAAAATAAATATCGGAAATCGAATGATTGTTGCATCGTTCTAATCGAGGAAAAAAGGTATTAATGTTGTAATGGAAGAAAATGTCTTCCTATTTCTAAGCGGCACCAGGTGTTGACAAGAAGAAAGAGTTGATAGAAAAAACAGGAAAGAGAAGAAAAGAACGCCTGTATCGGTAGAATATATCTGTACTCATCAGATTATAATAGGAAGAAGAAGAAAAGTAGTACATAAGTTGCACATGCATAAATACGCAGCAGTACCATTTATATATATATATATATACACACTTTTTGTACCGCCCTTTTTTTCTTATTACTCTACAGTACCATACTTTTTATGTTAGATACGGTTTTAGATCTATTTACTGTGACACACATGCGCAATATGTGATAATAAATACAGAAAAAATCTTATTAAATTTATAGTTAGGCTACATATGTAATGATGTTTCTCATAAAAAATAACATATCTAGCATGCCTATTAACAAGGTAACGATCATTGTACACGTATGCATAGAGGGAAAAAAAAAAGTTTGCCATTGATAAGAGAGGGAGAAAAAAAACCATATATCATTCTATGGCTTCATGTGCACCTATCAGAGGTGAGCAGAACAATAGAAAAATGTTTGATGATTGGTGCAAGAGGATATTCTCGTTTTTCTTCTCTTCTCTCACGTCTTATTGTAATATACTAGTTCGACACAACACACGTTTTATTTCAGTAGTAGAATATCAGAACAGGATAAGTAAGGCGTATACATATATACATGACAGCAGTTTCTCTCATGTATGTTGAAGGTAGAATATCATCCTCCTGTTATTCATTTGCAATACGGTATATCCATCATCATCGTCTTTATATAGATAGCAAACAAAACGCATTCGTAGTATAGTATTGATTCTTTTTTTTTTTTTTTTTTTGTACACGAAGTGTCTATCTGTCTGTCTGTCTATCTGTCTTCTTTAATGTAGTAACTCGTTGCTGAAGAGCAATTTCATTTTTTTTTTTTCAGAATTTTTCTTTTCTTCGATGTAGATCCATTAGCATTGCTAATATGTGTCAATCAGTCAAAGACAACTTTTTTTTTTAAAACAGTACATTGCATTCACATTGTGTCGTTTACATAAATGAATATAAAGACAAGCTTACTCAAATTACGAGAAAATGAGTACGATAAGATTTGTTACTTATTTTTAACTAGTCTCTGTTTTACTATCAGAATGTTTTTTCTTTTTGATTTGCTTTTAAATAGAATCGAAATGTCATAAGAACGAATCACCTTTTTTTTTTCTCTCTCTCTCTCTCTCTCTTCTTTCGTCAAACAGGTGTGAGAACCAATCGTAGGAATATCTAATAATTATATCTACTATTTGTTTTTTTTTCTCTCCCACTTGGATGGAAAAAAAAAAGTTAGTCGTCTGTTTATGTAAATCAGTGTTCGGTCGGTGGTCGCGTAATGATGTTAGTTTGTAATAATAATGTGTATACGCGCATTCACATCTTTCTCTGTATTGTGCACAGCAGATCATATCCGTAGATCGATTATACAAAAGAGTACTACTGTTATTACTTATGTTCTTCACCGAACAAAGTAGCAAATTTGATTAAGTATATATAATGTTCTAGCACATGCCGTTTACACTAATATGATCATATTTTTGAACACTGCATGTTACTGTCTATGTTTAATAGATCGAGTTACATTGGAAACAGGTGGAAAACAACCATTAATTTCTTTTTTTGTTTTGTTTTTAGATTGAATATTTGAATGGATTTACCAACGATTGGAATGATAGAACTAGATCATAGTAAAGACTTTTTTCCAATGAAGTTTTTTTTTATTTTTGCATTATTTGATATTTTTTTCTAGTTAATGATGAATGTGATAGTGGTTCTCATCAAGCTAAAATTCTACTAGATGAAGAAATTTTACCTACAACTGATGAAACTGGTAATAATGAATATTTGATGAATGTAATATTTTCTAATATTCCCTTTTGATAAAAACTAACAATAAATAATGTTAACGATTATGATTTGATCTATGCTGAACTATTGCTCAAGATCTATTGAATTATATAAGATTGAGATGTATTGTTTAGTAAGATAAGTCTTTTCTCAAACTGGTAGAACGAGAAGAAAAATAATGTTACCAAACTTTGTGTCATGATTATTCATCTCTCTAACAACTAACAAAACAGTCGATCGATTTGACAGAAAGTTTTTCTTGTACAAACACGCTTTTATGAATCCATAGACAGTTTTCTTTTCAATATGTCATAAAGTTTGACTGAATTAATAAATTCATATTACAAGGTAAGAGATTCAAGACAATAATTGTAAATAATTTGTTTAAGGTAGCATCACAATTGAATGTAACTACTTCAGAGTCAAGTACAATCACCTCTTTTGAAAAATTTTCTAGTTAAGCGCTCATCAATCCCCACAACAAGGGTCGACCCCAAAATTTTCGGACCCAATCCCAATCTGATGGATTCTAGTTGACCATCCCCCTTCCCCCCCCCCCCCCCCCCCCCCCCCCCCCCTGTCTTAGTGACTTTATGACACCCCTCTTTGGAGCCATGAACTAAATTTATTTCGATCTCGATTATTTTTTTTCTTGTCTTAAAGATGAAAATGAATGAGAAAATTTTCATTAGACTTCAGTCTTTAGAAGATTCATGTCATCTCTATATTTAGATTTACTATTGTATATATCATTTCTTTTAGAAATGAATTCTTCGAAATATAAACTTCTTAATGATTTCATACCATCAGTCGAATGTTCTTCTGAACAATTGCATTGTATACATTGCAATGCTATTTTTACTACCAAAGTATATTTAATAAAAAAAGAAACACTAAAAATAAATTATTTGATATTTCTTATTCCGTTTTTTTCTAAAATAGAATGATTTACGTCGACACGAATTAAATCACAATGCAAATCAAGTATCATGTCATATATGTCATAAAATTTTTGCCAATACCTATCGTCTTCAACGTCATATGTTAAGTCATGAAATAGATCCTCAAACACGAAAATTTCAATGTTCACATTGTCCAAAAGCATTTAAATTTAAACATCATTTAAAAGTATTTGAAACAAAAAATACAAAAAAAAAAAAATATAAATTTTCTTTCTTTAGGAACATATTCGAATACATACTGGTGAAAAACCTTTTGTTTGTTCGAATTGTAATAAACGTTTTTCTCATTCGGGTTCATATTCATCACATATGGCATCAAAAAAATGTTATTCATCAAATTCATTTTATTTACATAATCCTGAAATAGAAGAAGGTGAAGTATTACCTTTAAAAACTGAACAAAATCAATATAATGATCTATCAAAATATTATTCTATGAATGAACAATATATTCAATATTATTTTCATATTTTACAAAATACAATTTATCAAACAGAACCATTAGATTTATCAATAAAAAAATCCGGTGAATCTCATTTAGATGAAAATGATTTAATAGAATCATTAAGTCCAAATAGTTCATCTGAAATAAGTCTTTTATCACATGATGATTTATTAACTAATAAAAGATTATCATGTGATATATGTGATAAATCATTTAATAAACAAAGTTCATTAGCACGTCATAAATATGAACATTCAGGTAAAGAAAAAAAACAAAAATTTGAAGTTAATTTTCAAAAAACAAAAAAAACTAAAACAAAGATATTTATTTAGGTGTTCGACCATTTATTTGTGATATTTGTAAAAAAGCATTTAAACATAAACATCATCTTGCTGAACATCGTCGATTACATACTGGTGAAAAACCATTTCAATGTACGAAATGTTTCAAGCGTTTTAGTCATTCAGGTTAAATGAAAATTTACTTTTTTTTTATTAACATTAAAAGAAAATATTACATATTCTATTATTCTAGGCTCATTTAGTCAACATATGAATCATCGATATAAATATTGTCGTCCTTATCAAACAGAAATCGATAATACAAATTTAAATGAAACTTCCAATCAACCAACTATAATAAATTAATCGATGAATATAAGAAAACTCCATAGTGCCATATTCCGAATATTTTCGAGTTTGATATATCAGATCTTTTCATGCACATCATCAATGAAATCATTTTCTTTATCTATCAATTCTTTATTATTGTATGAACAAAAGATTTTCTTTTCTTTTTTTTTTTTTTCTTTTACCCTCTTACTCACTATTAAGAGTTATCAATTTTTCATTGTTGTCTGATGATGCTTTTTGTTTTTTTTTGTTTTGTATAAATGTGTGGTATGTTCTATTCAAGAGAAAGGAAAAAATAGTCAATCTTGTTTTTAGTAAAAGAAACGAAATAAAAAAAAACATAGTCGAGTGTCTGATTATAGGAGTTTGCAATATGTTTACATGTAAGTTTAATTCATTAGAAAAATTCTACGATAAGAATATTTTATACGGGTAAAGTTGAAAGTAGAGTTAACAAAAAAAAAAAAGAAATAGCACTTTTTTACTCATCCTAGTGAGTCAATTGTCAGTAGAATATCGTTTCGGATACTCTATTGAGAATCCTATCAGTACATGAGTACCTAGCAGACACATGTCTAGTTTCTACAGCATTCTATGAAAAAATTTTCAAGAAATTAGTAAATAAAACATTTTGTAGTTAAGTCTTAAAAAACCATGAAGTATTCAAAAGATTTCTGTGACATACTAATAGAAGCAGTACATTAACTAGAATAGCCATCAACTCATATTAAGTTATTGTTTCTTTTTGTTGTTATAGATGTTCTTCATAGGAGAGAAAACTTGTATCTACTATGGATGCAAAAGCATATTCTAATTGACATTTTCCTGAGGAGAAAAAGTTCTTTTTTGCTAGATTATACAGTACTGGATAAGGTTGAGAATGAATAATGACATTGGAGTAGTACTTCTTCCTTACAGAAAATATCGGTTACAATGATCTGCTATATTCATGGTAGAACACCTACTATGTGAATACTCCAAAGAAGTCATATTTTATTATGTATAATAATTGGAAAAATAAACATAATATATCAATATCAAGAAAAAAAATAACTCAAGTAAATAATTTATCATCATTGATTGTCGATAATCGGTTATAGAATAACATCCGGCAGACACGATGATATATTATCATTTGATTGTATAAGAATATTATCTTCAGTTTTTCCTTTATTAGACTATTAGTTTTACTATTCAATAATTGTCAAACGATATAAAATTGAATTTGTATAAATAATATAAAAAGTCAAAGTTGCATTGATTAATTGCGACATCTATCTATAGAAAGTATCAATAGTATTTATTATTGATCAAATATAATTTATTACTTATTTCTCGTTTTCTCTCATTTACATATTGTATTTAAGGTTAGTGATTGATAACTTTTTTTAGCATAATATTAATTATAGTGATCGTTTAATTTGTGGTTTGTGGTTATGATTTAATAATTTATATTTTTGCTGGATATTTAATTTTATTTTGATTTTATTTTGAGTGAGATTTGTTGAGAGGTTCTTTTGATCTTTTGATCTTTAGTGATTTTGTTTTTTTGACACATGAAAATCTTAATAAGAATGTAAATGGAAAAAGAAATTACTAGAATTATTTTATTGACATTTGAATATTTGTCATTCGTTTCTTTTCTCTAGTAAAGTTAATATTTTTTTAGAATAGTTATCGTTGTGTTCATAGTTATGTACACAAATCAACAATTCAAAACAGAAGCCATAGTAAACATAAGTAATCATCGTTATAAAAAAAATTCAAAGAAACGTATGATATCTGAACTGTACAATATTTCAAATTTTTTATTTTTTCCGGATCACGAAAAGAGAAATAGATTGAAAAGAATAAAAGCAAAAGATTATCTTTTTTTTTTTCTAAAATAATATTCTATTCTATAAATTAATAATTTTTTTTCTTTTTCTAATAAATAAATAAATAACTAATTCTTTTAGATTCAAAAACATATTAGCCATCGGCAACTAGATCACAATGGCAGGTCGAACGCCGAGTTTTATTTTTGTTGGTATTGTTATGATAGTATGTCTTGTTGGAATTTTTTATATGTCATGTTCATCACAAACAAATGAATTTCAAGAAACATTAGCAAGTTTTGAACGACGCATACGAACAGTAAAAGAATATATTTTAAATATATAAAAGAAGTTTTGTTTTTTGATATTTTTAGTTAGCAGAAAAAAATCTTGAGAAAGAAAAAGAAATTGAATCAATTAGTGGAACTATACGTGATTTGGAAAACGAAAAAACAAATATTCAACAACAAATAGAACAAAAAGATTCAGAAATCAATAATCTTAATACAAAATTAAATGAAAGAAAAGCACAAATTCAAAATTTAAAATACGATAAACAATTTCTTGATAATCAATTAGTAAATTAATATACAAAATAATTATTTTTGAATTTCTATTAATTATTTATTTTATTTTTAATGATCTTATAGATAGAATTTAAAACTATAAATGAAACACTTGCTTCAAAAAATATAGCTATTGAAAAATTACAAGAAGAACTTGATGAAGAAAAAAGTTTGTTTAATTTATTTTTATTTTTATTTCAATCATTAAATTACAATGTTTAGAATCTCATGATGAACAATTAAATCGATTGAAACAAGAAATTAACAATTATGAAAAACAACTGTAAATTGAAATAATTGAAGTTTTTTTTTTCTTTTTTTTTATTAAATATAATGTTTTTATTTTTCAGAAGTCAATCACAAAATAATCAAGAAAATTCTATTATACTTCCAAATCAACGTTTTCAACCGTTATTATTACCTAATGAAACAATTAAAACTTCTTTATTAGTATCTCAAGAACCTTTAGCTCAATTTAATCAGATTAAGAGTGAAAGTAAAGAAGATATTCCTAATTCACTAACAAATCAAACAATTCCAACTAATGAAAAACAACAAGAACAGCTGGAACTCAGCCGTAATGAATCAGTTTCTGTATTACCTAAAAATGGTTTAGTAGGTAATAGTTTCACTATATTTAGACGTATAGTTACTCGTAGAGTAAAAGAAAATCTTAAAAACTGATCTTAGATCAAGTGTATTCAAATCGCATGAAATTTTCAGGATATGTTAGGAATGTAGCGGGGAGATTATAATTAAATTTTCAGCCTTATATTATAACGTTTTCGAAAAATATTCAACAAAACAAAGGTAAAAATAGTTCATTTAGTAAAGCAAAATTTTATATCGACTCTCATTCTATATATTTGATTTTTTTGTGCTTGCAAGAGCTTGTCAACTTGAAATTTCCTTTTAGTTCGCACTTTTTATACGAAGACAGAGGATGACAAGTTCAATAAGGTGAACAACTCTCAAAAAAATGGTTTCCTACTTAGAGAAGTGCTCTTTTATATAATGATAAGAAAAACTTAACCCTTTCAGTCCCGATTTTTTATCGAAAAGTTGAAGAGGCTTTTTAAAATTTCTTATTTTATTTCATGTTAATTTCCTTTTTAAAGAAAAGGAGATTGTGAGAAGATGTGTGAATATAAAAAATATTAATGTGATATATCAAGTTGAAGGTATTGTTGACGTCTATTGAACTGTGAAAACAGTTCAAATTGCATACATTAATGTTGAAAAGAAAAACATGGGTGGCTCCTTAAGGGGACCCCCCCCCCTTTCCCGACTCAAAATTTTCACATTTTTCATTTTTCATTTTTTGTGATTAGTATATAGATTTGAATGCCCTCTATCCATTGAATACATTTTGAGAACTGAAAAACCACATCTTATATATAAAAAATTCGAAAAAAATCACAAAATATGCTGAAAAAACCAAAAAACACAAATTTCTTTGCGTTTTTCTCAAAATCAGTTTTTTCAGCAAAAAAATGAAATTTTCCCCCTTTTTCTCCGCCATTTCAAGTCCGATCGGGCTGAAAATTGTTTTGGTGAGACTTCAAGTGATTTGGGTTGGGCGTTTTTTTTTTTTTGGATACCTTCTACCAATCAAGTTTGGCAGGCTTCGCAAACTTTTTAGGATCCAAAAAACCTAGAGATTTTGCAAGGTGCTCAGTATTTTGGTTCTTCAGCCTGAAGTATTTGGAATTTTTGAAAAAAAGAAAAAACGCCCACCCCGATTGGGTCCGTCTACCCACAGCAAAAATTTCAGCTCAAACGGATGAAATTTGTGGATTTGCGGGGGGAAAACTTTTTGCAAGTTTTTGACCTTGGGGTCTCTGAAAGTCCATGAAGATGACGTCTGGCAAATTTGTGTCTATGACAACTTTTGCTCTACTACTCGAGGTCTATCTACCCTGCAAGTTTCAGGAATTTTCGTTCGGCCGTTTCTTAAAAACGCCGGAGAGGGGGGTCCCCTTAAGAAGCCGCCGGGATTCAAAGGGTTAATTCAAAAAACATACACTGCAGTTTCACATATTTTCTCAAACAAAAAAATAACGATTGGCTAATATGAGGCTCATTCGAGAATTCTAGAAAGACATAAATAGAGAAAAAACGAAAAAGATTTGTTGTTTTTTCTGAAAAAAGCATAAGTTGACGGGAATTATGAAAAGTTTTGGTAAAAAAAAAAACAAAATACGAAATAAAAAATCATGTCATTTATGAAATATCAGACCTCGAGCTATCTTCCCATGCATTTTTCTCAATTTTTATTTTTCTAACGAAAATTTACATTTTTTTAGAAGCGAATCTTAAGATAAACTCATGACATGCTTTACTTAAGCTTTTTTTTTTTTGATGTAAGAATTCTAGTCATATAAAATTTGAGAAAGATTAACTTGTAAATTATTTGTTTTCTATTGAATAGACATATGATAGTTCAAGTATATGAGTTGTATAAGAAATTATCATAAAGATCTTATATTTCTTCTAATGACAAATTTTGATTAGTAGGCGTCACTATCTCATTTCCAATGTCAATCTTGTATACGAGATTAGTTTCATTAATATTTATTAGTAATTGCATAATAGCTATTTCTTTGTTGACTAATATCTTTATTCAAATATTTGTTTTTTTTTTCTTGCAGTATAAAATTCATCTTTCATATTGACTATTCTTTGATTCATTCGATGTACTCATGTCTTTATTTCAAGATTTCGATTACATGAAACAAATAAAATATTAGCAAAGAAACGATAGAATCATCAAACAATTTACATTGGATTATTTTTTATAGTTTTTTCTTTTATGTATTTTCTATGACTGCTTAACACAATGCCCAGCACAGTGCGATGCTTTTTCAGCAAGCGTATATGTTCTCTCAAATATGACTACATTAGAAAGATTATTATTTTTTAAGAGACTGGAAATATGTGTTCATTATCTAGAGTAAAAAGATTCATTTATTCAAAAACAAAAAGATACAAGGTCATTTTAATCTAAGAAACAACACTAAATAAAAGTTTGCATACTAAATCATTAATCTAATTTTAGATCAAGAACTGAATAATTCAGATTTTCATCAACGTGTAAGATAATATCATATAAATTTTTATTGCATTTTATGATTCTTGTTTTTTATTGTATAGTTACAACGATCATTGAATAATTCATTATTTGACAATCAACTTCTTAATGATACTGATAACAATAATAACATGCGTCTAGATATTGGAAATGCTCAGAAAACTATAAATATTACTTCCATTCCATTTTTAAACGAAACAAATATTTCTAATAATCAATCTCAATTATCAGCAGACAATAAAAATTCTCCTATAGATAATTATGAACAAAATCATCAAGTTAAAGATGCTCATGAACAGAGGATATTCAATATAGATTAGATTTATCGTCAAGAACAAGTCGATGCTAGTAAAAAAGAAAAGATTTAGAAAAGTAGTCCATTGAAATGAGTATTTATTTATTAACATTGATCTTAACTTTTGAACTTGTACGGGTATTTTTTTTTTCTTTGTATATTTTCTATTGTTATTCCTTATCTTCTCTACTCTCAACCGGTATCTTTCGTTTTATTATTTGACACAATACTGTCAGGTGCTTTTTTCTTCTTTTTTATTTTTTAATTTAAATTGAACAATTAATTTAAATTAGGCAACTGTTTTTTTTTCTTATACAATGCAGTTAATAAAAATGGTACGTTTGATTCGTAAGAAAAAAACTTAATGATGATAATCATTTTCGTATTAATAATTTTATTGAATAAAACTTCTCAATATTGTCATCATTTCAAAAGGAATGTATTATTGATGTATAAAAGTAAAAGTTTAATGTTTAGAAATAATAAACAAACTACTATGAACTTTGTAAATTATATTAATCTCAAAATTAAATTGAATAATTTGTTTATTTTGATTTTCTAATTATTACAATCAAGTTGTTGTTAAATTTGATCGTATTATATTCAACGGAAAGTTTGTCAGAATTTTTTTATGTTAGCTTTATTCAAAT